GGGTGGGGGGTGGGTGGGTGGAAATCACTGTATACTTGCCTCATTTCTTACAATCTTTTTCTAGGAGTCTGTTACTGGAAGTATACCATTAGGCCTCTTATTCGATGCATTACAGTTGTTTTTAGAATCTTTTATATTCTACTGGCTTGTGATACAGTGCAATTACTATGTACTGACCGTTCAGATACTGAGCTGATACAAACTGACTTTTGTAAGGGATCATTTAAACATATGCCTCAATCAAAACTAGAGGAAGTTCTCTTATAGAGACTAAAGACAGACTCTAGAGTGCTGGAGAGGACAAGAAAGAGCTATACTCTGTGATGACTTGAAGTCTGCTCATCACTGTCAGTCACACTCTTTTTAAATCAATGCCATAGCTGGTGTCAGTAAGGCAGTTAACATTCTCTCCCATCTGCTCCCGTATTTTGCCTCTTATTTCATGAATATTGTTTCCCTCTGTCTCAAATTCATATTTGGCTGATGCCATAGGAATATGCATGCGACAGAACTAGCTCATCTGGGCCCACATCAGGTTATACATCTTGGCTTTCCTCCCTCTGGTTGCTTCAGTAGCTTTATGTGATTTCACCCACTAGATCAATTATCATGTTCCTCCTATAGAGCCAAAGGGAAAGCACCGCAGTCATTTGCCTGCCACCAACAGTGATGTCCTTTCCAGCACGTGTAGAGTCCCCCTTCCACACACAAGGAAGTGATCAGCCAGACTTCTCTGCCCTTCGAGCAGCTCCAGCTCATATCCCTTAGAGGAGAGTTAACACATATATCAAGTGACACCCTCTCATCCCAACCCACAGCCTTGTGTCTTTGGTACAATTTTAAATCAGTGCTCTCATTATTCAGGTTCACGGAAGGACAACATCTGTAAGGATTTGCTCTCTCTAAAGTAAAGCTGTTCATTCATTTCCTGCTTCTTCAGCCACAGCCTTGCCTTCAGACACTTGGCTTCTTTCAGAATCACAGAAGGACTGAGGTTGAAAGGTACCTCTGGAGGTCACCTAATCCAACTGCTCAAGCAGGGTAACCCAAAGCCAGGGTACCCAGGACCATGTACAGTGAGCTTTTGAGTATCTCCAGGGAGGGAGACTCCACACCCTCCCTGGGCAACCTCTGCCAGTGCTCAGTCATCCTCATACTAAAGAAAGTCTTTCACTCACCCTTTGTCCTGTCATTGGACACCACTGAAAAGATTCTGGCTCCATCCTCTTCAGGCATTTATGTACATTTGGGATGTCTTTTGAGAGACATCTCCTCAGTAAGGTCCCTGCATGGCTGATGAAGAGGCACCTGGTGCCCTCGGTAGGAAAAGGGACAAGTACAGAGGACCTAAGTGTCAGAGAGGAGGCTGTGAAGTGACTGCAATTCCCAGCCCCTGGATGAGGCATAGCCAGTGGACAAGGCTTTGTGCTTACTTGATGGCTAGTGAGCTCTGCGGTGCTGTGAGAAGACTGACCTCTATTACAGCATGGGAACAGGTCATCTCCATTCCCAGGTTCCTGCTGGATACTTGGGAAAATTTCATGTTTGTCTTCGCTGGGAAAAAAAATAATGGTGCACCCCAGAACAGGATCTTCAGTTTGACGTGCCCATTTAGGGCTAAATCTCTTCTCTCCTTCATCGCTTTTGTACAGACGTACATCACATGAGACATTCCCAACTCCAAAGGCTATGAGGTGACATAAGGCCTCTAAAACAGCATTGGGGACGGAGGTCTGTAGTCCTTCCTTTGGCAAGCTCCCATGAGTGCTGCCTGAGCCTCAGCAGATTAAGCACTGAATAATACAAAGGCATTGTGCCATAGTTAAGGCATTTTATGGTAAATCGAATTGGCTTAGTGGATAGTTAATGCTGGAGTTCCCCCTAGAGGACACGTAGGCTCACAGTAGATGAGTCACTTCATCTTATAAAAGTTCCCAATCTGTTTGTGTACGTATATGGACATTCTCATTTATTTCCAGTGAAAATTGCTTCATTTCAGAGTGGGTAGTGCCCTCTCTTATCTAACCTGAACACAGCTGCTGTTATTATCCCCCTGGCAATAACTGCACTTGGGGCATAACAATTGTGTAGCACAGAGCTATCGGGGGACTACAGTAAAATAAAGTTCTTTCCAGGCTGACGTGCATCTTTAGAAAGGATATGAATCAGTCTGGAAAGTTTATAAACCTGGACTCAAATGATTTCCAGCAGTCCTGTTATATACCCATGCTTACTAGTACCAGGAGAAGGAGTGGGAACGCAGGCAGTGGTAAACCAGGAGGAGAGTTTCCGTGGAACTGAGATACAAGAATTCAGAACTCAGCCAGCTCAGCAGGTCCCGCTAAAGCTTCAGCCAGGCAACTTGTGTCACATTGCACTTGACAGTGTTTGTGATAAGGACAAATGTTTAGGTTTGAGGCAAAACCAGCATTACGCCCTTATGTAACTCTTAGCTGATACCACACATGGATCCTGGAAGCGAGAACTTTGCAGTAAAGTCAGCCCTTCCTAGAGCTGAACCTCTGACTAGATCTCCACTCAACTCACCCATTCTTTTCTGATAAAAAAGGTGGCTTCAAAATAGCAAGTGAAAACAGCTGAAAGCTATAATCTTTACACACCAGAATCTTCCTATAATAAACTCTCATCACTACACTAATCCCATTTCAGAAGATACACATATTGGCAAAGTTATAGGAATAACATGTACTTGTTCACTTACTAGACAAAACTATGAAGGATTGTCAAATAATTCTCAGGCAGTTTAATGAACTAAGTACATCCTGTGGTGCACTTGTCCAGGCTTTCCATCATCTCTAAATTGAATCATTCTGTAAATGTCCTCTTATAATCATCAGAAAGCAGTGAATGTTTACATACAGATGATGTGCCCCTCTTCTTAACAAAACTGAAAGCTTAGTTGAGCCTACCCAGACTTTGTACTCCTCTGTGCCTTTTGGCTGCGTGTGCATATTTCAGAGAGATGTGCTGTTGGATGGGGAAGTGGATGAGAAGAGTCAAGGTTCATGATATTCCTCCCCTTCCCTGCCTGCACACCACGGTTGAGTCAGCACAAACGCCTGCTTCTTTACCACCACTGGTGCCAGCTCAGCACACAGAGGAAAGCAAGCTCTTTCCCGTTCTCCTGTGCCCAACTAGTCAGAGCTGGAGGCTGGGAAACCCTCCCTGACTCCCAGTTGTGTGTGTGCCGCTGACTGGAGTCAGTGGGAGCTTTCCAGTGAACACAACTGCATCAGAATGATCAGTTTAACCGAGCCTCTTTGGCAAGCAAGTTTTCCAGTTGCTGCCCAGAGGTTCTGTATGTGTTAAGAATATTTTTTTTGTCAACCCATCCAGGAGCTGAATATTTGAAAACCTGCTTATCTCAGAGAGGCAAATCTCATTCGCATATTAAATCTGAGTCCAGCTGTAGTACTCTCCTCAACTTTCTGATTTAAGTGTTTTGGGTCAGTTTGTTTCTCTTAACTTGGCGAGTATGAATAGCACACATTGCTACCATGGGCAGCACTGTGCAAGCCTCACCGGGGCACTCCCTAAGGCCAAGTTCTTGTGAAAACAAGGGACAGGTATTCTACCTGAACAGTCTCTGCCTGTTCTTAGGTGGGTGAAAGAAATAGTTTGAAGAACAGGTAGACAGTGCATGCAGGGTCCATGCAGGTTCCCCACAAATGTGGTGAAGGATGGCAGCAGGGAGGTCTCTATGGTTCTTTGATCCTTTCTACCCCACCCTGAAAGAGCAACTTGGTCCTTAAGGACCATGTTCCTAGAAAAAACTGCCTGTTCTTTGAAAGCCTGTAAGGACTTTGTATAACCTTAACAATAGTTATACGGGGAGCCTCCACATAGCCAAGGGACATTCCTGGCCATCTAATCTTCCTCCTTACTTGTCAGCGCAAGAATCTTCCCTTTTGTGGCTAATAATTGGAAAAATAAACTTCCTGCCATCTCACTTCATTAGAACCCATTCTTTCTTCCTCCCTCCCTTTTTCTTTCCCTTTTTCTCTGATATTCTCTGTTTTGTCATTTTTGCTCTGTTATTTCACTTATAACAATCCACAGGAATGCAAAAATGTTTTAAGATAAAGCTTGTATTTTCCTTTCTGTGACATTTACGAAGGAGAGTCTGTCTTCTCCATTGTGGTCCATTTATTCCCTTTGTAGAAAATACATGATTCCAGACTTAATCTTCACAAGCCGTGTCTCTGCTTCCTTCTAGGACTCTATGGTGTTTTATTTGAGAAGCACACGGAGGCTGCCTTTGCCAATTACCGTCTCTGGGAATCATGTGGGTTTGTCATTGCCTTTGGTTATAGCACCAAATTGCAAGTTTACATCAAACTGTACATTTTATTGTCCGTGCTTGTGCTGTCTATGGTGACATATGGAGCAGTTGAATACCTGGAAGCTAAGAACTCCCGTGGCACACCTACTGCTACAAAGAAGGAAAATGTAGGACCCCCCACCCAGGAAACACACATGTAATCCAACAGGGTCAGAGTGATGGAGGCAAAGCAAGCTGGCTGGCTCTTCAGGCACGTCTCCATGGGTGTTCCGACATTGACCATCTCCAGAAAGTGGGTAAAGGAACAGATTTCAAGGACAGTATAATGCAAATGTCATAGGAGTAAAAATCTCTTTTGACATCTCAGCTTTATAAGTGAAGATTATCTGACTTCACCCTTTCATACAGATCATGAACTAAATGTTTTCTCTTTATTTAATTAATAAAGTCTTAATAAATGTAAACAAGACTCCTAAAGTCCTCACGTTTTTGTATCTGTGGATCAGACCTAGTACCATAGCTTTATAATCAAATCTGAAAAGCCCACATGCAATACCAGAAGATGACAGCAACTGGGGTTGTTCAGCTGACTGCAGACAACACATAATTTCATTGAGCCACTATTTATATAGACTTACATTGTTCTTATCCTGCATTCTTTAACACTTGCTGTAAATAACGTCAAGTTATAAACTGGCTGTATCTCCAGTTCCTATCTGAACACCACAAAATCCACTAACTGCAAAGCCCACCAACCTGTCTTAGGTCAGCAGAAAAATCATGTTTCTCCCCACAACATCTCTCTGTCCCAGAACTCTTTCCCTTTTGGTTTTCCTGTTTCCAGTTTTTGCCTCACCACTTACAGCAGCTTTCTCCCAAAACAGATGCCTTCTGCATGACCAAATCCTTCAGTCATGATGAACTTTCCTCACTTTCCCATCCATGGACAGAGATGTTTTCAAGATAAGCAGCCAGGACATGTTACCTGGGGAGCTCAGCCATGAAGAGGGTGCAGGTAACAGTGCAAGTCATCGAGTGAGAAGGAGGAAAAGGAGGATGGGCCCATGCTCTAATATCTCCTTGAGACCTGTAGACATCTAGCAGTAGCTTGGATGTGGATTTCCCTCATCTCATTTCAACTTTTATTTAGTTCTATACGCACTATATTGTTTTCAGATTCGGATTTTTGTGGTTTTACTGCAAGAAGAAGAGTGCTACAGTGCAATTACTGGGCAGTGTTCTTACATCTTGATGCAAAAGCACTGTATAGATATCATGATAATTACTGCTAATGACAGTATGATCAGATCCTCTGCATGAGGCAGACGGCATAAAAGAAATTGAAGACAAAGGCTGTTCATCTCCAGGATTAGTACTGCCCCTGGAAATAAACTACGTGGCTAGTTAATTTGCTGCATGCCATGGAGCTAAGATTTGAAACTACTTCTTCTCAGTTATTAACCGTAACAGAAGGGTGAGGCACCATATGGTGTGACAACATGATAGAAATCAATAATACAATTTATGTGGAAAAAAGTCCCCAAATTGTTAGGGCTTTTAAGTGACAGTACCTTTCATGCTACTTTACTAGCTCTCTAACATTTCTTGTTCCCAAGCACCTGAACTCCCCTCCAGACTTCCCCTGTGTTGCTTCATGGCTTTTCATACTATAAGCTTCTTTTTCAGGTGTCATACAATTAAGTAGAGTTCATTATGTCCTGCAGAAAAGGCGGCGACAGGTGGGCTCCCTCACCGATCCACCTTTCTCTTGTGCCTTTGCCCCGCCAGCTCAAAGGCATACTGTTAATCTTCTCTGTTGGAAATACAAACGGCAAAACTACTGTGGCTGCAGAATCCTGATGGCCTCCCAGCTGCCCAGAGATTACAGATGGATTTGCTGGGCTGCTGCTGATTCTCACCCTGCTCTGCTTTCATCTGATACAGCAACTTGATTTCATCTTGATAACAGGCAGTGAAACACATCTCCAAATCCTCCTCTGATTCTCTTTTACCCTGCAACATTCAACAGCAAGTGAAGCAAAGAGGATTTTTGAGAGGAACGTCAGTGAAAATCTAATCTGTGTGAATGTAACCACTTATTGTTTATTTGTAAAAACCCAGCACAGAAATCAGGATCTCACTACACAAGCTGCTGTACCCTGCCTCAGAGCAAAAGGATGACCCCACCCTCAGAGCATATACAACTTAATAAGTTTCTCTTTTTCCTCCTGTACTGGGTCCAGCTGGGATGGAGTTAAGTTTCTTCATAGCAGCCCATATGGTGCTGTGTTTTGGACTTTGTGACTAAACCAGTGTTGATAACACACCAGTGTTTTGGGTATTGCTGAGTAATGCCTGCACAGCATCCAGGTTTTCTCTTTTTCCCACTCTGCCCCCGCAGTGAGTAGGTTGCAGGTGTGCAAGAAACTGGGAGGCGACACAATCAGGACAGCTGAGACAGATTGACCAAAGGGATGTCCCATACCACATGATGCCATACTCAGCAAAAAAAGCTTGGGAGGGAAGAGGAGGAAGTGGGTTCTGGCATTTGTCTTCCCAATCAACCAGTACGTGTGCTGAGGTCCTGCTTTCTGGGAAGTGGCTGGACACCTGCCTGCTGATGGGAAGTAGTGAATCATTTCCTCATTTTTCTTTGCTTGCACATGCAGGTTTGCTTCACCTGTATTAAACTGTCTTTATCTCAACCCAGGAGGTTTCTGTCTTTTGCTCTTCTGTTTCTCCCCCCGACCCTGTTGGTGGGGGGACTGAGGGAGTAACTAGTTGGGTGCTTTGCTGGTGGCCAGGGTCAACCCAGCATACCTCCTGCATTGTTTTGTGCTGTGTGCCCAGAATTTGTCTGCAGTAAAATTCGGCAATGGCAAACCAGCAAACTGCTATTGACTCCACAGATTCCAGCTGAAACCATGAGGATGTACCAAAGACAGAGAAAAAGGTGCTCTGACCTTGGAGAAAACCTCAGCACCACTGAAACAGAGCCAGCGTGGAAGGCAGGAACTTGTGGCCTGTGATTTGGGCAGCTGTTTTCCTACTCTTTATTTTGTTACGTAACTCTACTGTAGACATTTCCCCAATTGTAAAAAAAGAGGAAAAACACCTCTTCCATCCTGCAGGCACTGTGAGGAAAAACTCTGTTACCTCAGTAACGGAAGACACAGCTACATGTGACTGTTGAGTGAATGTACTTCTGAGACAGGGCAAGAATAAAGGTGCTCATCTGTCTTGGACATGATCTAAACAGAAAATGCCACTTAGGACATATTATGCATGGGCAGTACACAGTTACAAAATCCGTGCAGTTTTGTTTACTATCAAGGCAGCAGGAATTTCGCTGCATAGTATGTAAAAAAACTTCAGTCAGGAGTTCAGCTAGGAACACCTCTTCACTGAAAAGTCAGAAACAAAACGATGGTTGAGGTCACTGAGGCCTCTGCCCTTCCATGGCCAAGGAAGTCTCCAAAGAGCCCTGCTTCAGTCTGGGAGGCACCGAGCAGCACAAGTCTGTCTGTGCTGAGTCTTCAACCAGCAGTTGGTGAAGGTAGCCTCACCCTTCTTCACCCCGTGTTTCGCTGCTGCACCAGCTCCTGTCTCACCCACAGCAACAACCGCATTCACCCTGCAGTGAAACAACAGCTTTTATCAGCCTGACTCTGGCTGTGGGAGGTTAACGAGAGCGGGTGTAGCCATCTCAATGGTCACTAGCTTTGGGGTTTGAAGTTATGGCGAGGTGGATCCCTCTCCAGTCATGTGCCTGAAACCCTCAGGAGCTCTAAACCTGGCAGTGGGTAATAAACCAGGTAACGCTCATCTGCTGAACACCTTGCCTTCCCTGGCATCCTCAGTCCCAAACTGTGGCTCCCTAGAGGTATAAGCAGAGTCAGGCCTTCGTGCAAAAGAACCTTGGGGCGATGTGGGCAATGAGGACACCGAGCGAGGGGCCACCTGTGCCAGGCAGGAGGAGAGGCCCTGAGGAAAGGAGGGCTGAGCTGTTTCTCCCAGAGCACGAGGCTGGCTCACATCACACACCAGTCTCTGCTGAGAGCGACGCAGGCCTAGGGGAAACCATGGATCAAAGCCTTCATCTGGAACGTTCAGATAGTCAGGCTCAAGTAGTTAATATTGAGGGAGCTGGAGGGTCTCGGATGCAGCTCAGGAGACAGCAGACGCACAGGGGCTCTCACTGGCACCCGCAGCCCCCTGCCACAATGGCTGCCTCGGCCTGTACGCGCTGGGCCTGCGGAGCTGGGCCCCTCCGTGCGGCCTGCGGGGACGGAGCCGGAGTGCCCCGACCCTGGCGGGAGACGGGGGAGCCGCAGGGGAGCGGCTGTCACCCGGCGGGCGCGGGCAGAACAGCTGCGGGCGGTTTAACAGCCCCGGCCCGGGGGGAACCGGGAAAGCGGGGTGAGCTCCGCCGGGACGCGCCGCCTGCGCTGCCGGCCTCGGCCTGAGGGAGGGAAGGGAAGGGAGGGCAAGGCCCGCCTTTCCCCATCGCCCAGCAACGGCCCGCCGACGCCAGCCGGCCCTTTTCCCGACCCCGCCGGCGGCCCCCGCCGCTCCCCGCGTCCGCCTTGGGCCGGAGCAGGCGGCGGGGCCTGCAGCCGTCGGGGCGGAGAGCAGGGCAGGCCCGCGGCGGGGCCCAGGTAGGAGGTGAGGCCGGGGGGCTCAGCCGGGCCCCCGCCCCAGCACGACCAGCCACCAGGGCTTTGAATACTCCTGCAGATAGGAGGGCGACCAGCACCGGTGCAGCCTCGCAGCCCAGCGCCCCCCCGGCCGCAGGAGTGGCCGCAGGAAGGCGTGTGTGGCCTGGGGCAGGCGGGGTGGGGTGAACCTGGATGCTGGATGGTGCACCGGGCAGAACCCAGCACCTGAAGAAATAATCAAAATGGTTATTTCCGGAATTAAATTGCAAGATGGGCAGCTTCCAGACCCATGTTATGATCTGTGACCCTGAGACGATAGGGAGGACCACCGGTTGGTCTGCCGAGTTTAATTACATGGAGACATTTTGCATTAATTTGGCAAACACACACTTTTAATGCCTCAACCATTAAGGCTTATATTTCCTCTCATAGGTGTAAAACCCGGCAACCAGAACGAGTGAAGCAGCCATGGCCAGCACCAAGCCCCAGCTGAGGTGAGAGCTGCCCTGGGGACACCGGCGTGGGGTTTCCACCACAGCCTCTGCACAGCCACAAGGTCACAGACAGAAGGATCCTGCTCTTCTCGGGGAAGGTCTCCTCTTCTGGGTGCCACTCAGCAGCAGAGGTAGGTAGGTGTTGAACTCAGGACAGCTGTAGCAGATTCTGCATTATGGAAGAACACCTGCAAACACGTGGGCGGGTTTCCAAGTTATTAAGGAATGGGCTTGAACACAGAGGCCTCTGGGGTTGCAG